ATAATAAACTTGAATGAAATGACATGTTGATTTTAAGATCATATTTAATGATGTGATATATAAAAACAGGTATTCTATTTACCAACAATCTCCTTATTCAATACTCCAAAAGTCTGTCAAAATTTTTATTTGTTTATTTAGAAATATTACATTCTGTCACATCAAGGACATTTATAATAGTGTTCAGAGAAAGCACACTCACACTCTATTTACAATAAAAAAAAAAAATAATAATACAGAAACTTAATAATAATAAATACAATAAATAAAATAAAAATAAATACAATAAAATAAAATAAATGTATATAAACAAAAGAACTAACCTAATCATACACACTCGGGCTTGAGTGGAGGATCTGGCCATTGCCAAAACTCCAATAGATGCTTGTTTACAAAAGGTCTCTGGGCCACTGCCGCTTCAACCTTCGAGGAGGATTGTAAGGATGGGTGGTGCTGGATAGAGATTGTGCAAGGGGATTTGGATGATAGGTAAGGTTCTGGTGAAATTTGGAGAATTTTTCTGGAATAAGGTCTAGGACAAATGGGATATTAAGGTCATGGTGTAGGATTTTGTTATTTACATAGAACGGAGCATCAACTATTGTTCGAAGGACTTTAGATTGAAAGGATTGAATACGTTTGATGTTAGAAGCTTTTGCTGTACCCCACAGTTCAAGTCCGTATGTCCATATAGGTTTCAGTATTGTCTTGTAGATAAGTAATTTATTTTCAATAGAAAGTTTGGATTTTCTGTTTAGTAGTCTGTATAGCTGGCCGTATCGTCGGTTGAGTTCTTGTCTTTTGAGTCTAGTATGTGGGTTCCACGTTAGTCTTCGGTCTAAATGAAAGCCAAGATACCGGACTGTGTCTGAGTAAGGAAGCTGGATGGAATTAAAGTGTACTGGTGGACAGGAACTGCGTCGGAGTGTAAAGGTAATGTGTTGGCATTTAGATTCATTAACTTTAATGCGCCAGTTATTACACCAGTGCTCAATCAAGGTGAGGTGGTTTTGGAGATTTAAGGATGCTATGTTGGGATCTGAGTCGGATGATAGAATAGCGGTGTCATCAGCAAAAGTTGCCAGGAAGGTATCGGGATGGACAGGGATATCGGCGGTAAAGAGGATGTAAAGGACAGGATCCAATACGCTACCTTGAGGAACACCTGCCTCAATTGGATAGCAATGCGAAAATTCAGTACCGCAACGAACTCGGAAGGTACGATCTGAGAGGTAGGAACGGAGAACAAGGTACAAGGACTGAGGAAGATAGTTTTTCAGCTTGGAAAGAAGCCCGGCGTGCCATACCCGGTCGAAAGCTTGAGCTATGTCCAGAAATGCACCCGAGCAATATTGCTTGCTTTCCAATGCTGCGGAAATATGATCAACCACTCGGAGTCCTTGTTGGACTGTAGAGTGTTTTGAACGAAATCCGAACTGATGGGAAGGAAGAGTTTGGGATTCTATAAAGGGTAGGATGCGTTTTAGGAGGATCTTTTCAAAGATTTTTGAGAGAATAGGAAGAAGGCTAATTGGTCTGTAGGACGTTGAGGTGTTGGGAGGTTTGCCTGCTTTCGGAAACAGGATAATAGTGGAATGTTTCCACAAAAGAGGAAAGTGGGTGGTTCGTAGGATGCTATTGTATATGTATGTAAGGAATATGACAGCTTTAGGAGGGAGTTGTCTAAGGATCTGAGAGGTAAGCAGGTCGTATCCAGGTGATTTACGGGTAGGTAGTTTTTGTAAAAGGAATTTGACCTCAGAAGGATTAACTGCTTTAGGCGGTAAGGAGAGTGGGATGGGTGAATTAAGGAATTCCTCTACTGCTGACGTGTGGGTGGGATTGGATTCTGGATGAGAGGTGAATGTAAGGGAAAGGTGTTTGGCGAATTCTTCGGCTCTATCTTCGTCAGATGCTGCCCAAGAGCCATCACCTCGACGGAGAGGATGTGATATGTGATGGGGTTTTAGGATATGTTTGGTGGTCTTCCATAGGGAATTGTCATGAGAAGAGAGGGAAGTGAGGTAGGAGTTGAAGGATTGGGATCTGAAGGTGGCCAATTCTATCTTTAGTTTTTTGCAAAAATAATTATAGGATTGGCGATCGGTGGGGTGTCTAGTACGTTGCCATAATAATCTAGCACGGCGTTTGGTATGGATTAGGTTTATGAGGTGTTGAGGTAACTTATTTTTCTTAGGAGTTCTTGAGGAGTGGTTTGGAAAGGAAGCAGTCCAGATTGCTTGTTGGATAGTAGTGGTAAAAAAGTGTACGGTATTGTCAAGGTCATCTGGGGTTTTAAGGGTCATTCTGAGAACCCAAAAGTAGAAAAAAAATGATTTGCACAATATTTTTTTTCTTATATTAAGAAAATGTAATACTTACATATAAATTATTATTCTGGCTGGTATTTCGGTAATATCTTACTAATTGGAATAGATAAGGATATAAAATTCCAATGAATTAACATTTACACTTTCATTATTTTATTTTTGAGTATTTAGCAGTCAACTTTCTTAAATTTGTGAATTTACGCTGATATATTTTAATATTTAGAGAAAATACTAAATAGAATTTTTCACAAGCTTTATATTTATTTATTTATTTTAAAAATAAATTGTATAAAAACTTAAAATGACTGCATCCTGACTACTTACACCTATTTTTTAAATATAATTTAATAAAAAATGAAATGATTTTTCAAGATTTAATAATAATTGTAGCTAAAATAAATAAGAAAATCTAAATAATTAAAAACTTGAATTAACTTCAAAACAATTCAACATTATATTTTTATTTTATTTGAACATTTTGGTTGCAAATTAGAAAGTCAAATCATGAACTATACATATTTAATTTCAGAAAAAGTTAGTCGGGGGTGCTGTCAAAAAATACTATATTATATAATAGTACATTTTATTACATTGTCCAACATTTCGATCTCAGAACCAATATTCCGTCAGGCATTGTTGAAGTCTGTATTTTATGTAATAAAAAAAATTGAAAATTCTTACCTTAACATTTCTCATGTTTTCTGGTGTATCAGCTCTTTTTCGCATGTAACACTCTAAAATATAAATAACTTTATTTATTACATTGGATATTGTATTATTGTATTACAATTCTTACTCATGAAACAGTCATATTTTAGTATTCGAAATTTAAATTAAAAATATGGAACTTTATGATTAAAAAGTCTTCTTATTAAGCACACCTCTAATCACCGGAAGAGCCCTATCTTTAACATCCAGTATTCTTGGTGAATATCTTCTTATTCTTTCAGGTTTAGTTAATGTATCTTTTACGAAAGAATATCCATGCAGGAGATATTGATTCCTTATTGCCCTGCACAAAGCTAATTTTCCTATGGGATTCAGAAAATATAAATATGAGCCTTATATAAATATTATTTTTTAAACATTATTGCCTGTTCTAAAATCTGTACTACATACGTTGCCTTTCCTTTTCGTATGCTTGAAACAAAATATGAGCATCTTCTCTTTTTCCAGTTTCTCTTTCAAATTCAGAAGCACTCTTGTAAAGTAATTCTACTGGCTGCAATTTTGAAGTATGTAATTAGCTAGTTAATAAAATATATTTAGAATTTAATTATAATTTTACCTTTATTCCAGCTTTTCTACAAGCCTTCAGAGATCTTGGACTGGTCAGTACATATTTGCATTTGGTAGCAGAAGGTATCTCAAAGTTTAATAAGTTCAATACAGGCAAGCTCATGGATTTATTATAAAATCATGAGACTTGCCTACCAAGTTCACATGAATGTTTGCTATCCCAGGTTGCTATGCCAGTATGTAATCAATATGTTGTACTTTTTCAAAACAGAAATTAGAGAATAATTTCTGGTTTTTTTTTTTTCAAATAATACTATTAAAATAACAAATGCACTGTCTTTAATTTTAGTTTTTTACAGTATGTTTCTTAAATTATTGGATGTTGTTAATCTTTATTACAAAGTTCGGAATAGGTGAATTTTGTTAATGTATTTCTAAAACATTACCAAAAAATTTCCAGATTATAAACCAAAAAATGACATTTTAATTTTTATGTTGGTACCACTGGAGTCAATGAAACTTGCAGTGACATTTAGAATTCTTTAAAGTCCATATTTATAGCCACAGTCTTATTTTTTTATATTGAATAAGTTTATAACTCTTGCATTAATCCCCGTCATCATACCTGGCCCAGGAAAAACCATGTATCGCCTATAATTCGAGAAAGGACTGGACAAAAAAAAAGATGTATTTTTCTCGCTTTTCAGATATATGGGATCCGAACTTATAATCTTTAACCTGCTCGGCCATCACGCCTTCAGAAAAGAAATGAAAACTAATTGGGCAGTGTGTTTGAGTGGAGAAATTGTAGTAGCTTTTGTGATCTTATGAAGTGATATTTGGATTGGCTATCTTGGAACCCCAAGACATTATTAATGAATCAATTCTTTAATTCTCTATCATAAATTTCTCTTTCTACTAAAAAACATAGGAAACTGATTGAAGCAAATAATATGCCTACAAACATAATTTAATACAAATTGTATTAACCCTTATTTTTTTTTTTTTAATTGCATTACTATTGATACAAAAATAAATTTTTTATAGGCCAAAAATAAAAAAATATCACACAGCGTTTGTCATTTTTGTGCGTTTTTTTTTTTTCAATGTTAGGAGAAAACTTGCATTCTGAATACCTTTACTCTTTACCCCCAATTGGATTAATGTGTTTTAGTTATAAAATGTAGTAAAACCAAACAAATGACAACTTTAAGGCCAAACAGGTTTCTTTAATGCGGCTGTACCCATCCCTTAACTTCTTTTTTTACATATATTATTATTCCTCTGTTGATGAGTCGAAAAGCCTATTCTCGTGGCCTTAATATGCAATGTCCTCGTTCAAAAAGAAAGATGGACGCTATAGTCAATTGAAGATTTAGCTCTTTGATGTTTTAGATCGATCTCTGTAACAACCGTGCCTTGAAACCTACTCTTGTTTACAAATAAGGTTTTACATTGGGAAATTGTCATTTACGGGTTTGGATTTAAATTTAAACCAATATGCTTAACGTGTTGGACGATTTGATCAAAAAGTTAGTTTCAATAAAATAATTAATGTTTTAAATAAAATATCTTTCTGTTTGTGTTATTTTTGAACGAAATAAAATAGAGATTTTCATTTGTTATGTAGGTATTGATGTTTAGTTTAATTATTTATTATTTCTGATTGTTTTAGGATTGTTGGTCTGGAGTGCATTATAATAGCTGATAGAGATGGTATTCCTATTATCAAAGGTATTTATTTCCTTTCATTAATTTAACTTAGTGCTATTTAATTAGTTCTAACAGTATTTGTGTTTATATTTTAGCTGGTGCTCAGAAAATACCTGAAACTGTATTAAGATCTGGATTTTTATCAACTTTTGGTATGGCACAGTTTCAAGGAAAAAAATTAGGAATGGGTGAAAACAATACAACTATTTCATTATACACTTCTTATCAGGTATTTGCAACTATTGCCTTGCAGCTTTTATTCAGGATTTTCTTTAGAAAATTTTATTATCAACATATTTCAATATATAGATATCTCTCTCTGATTAATTATCTGAAATGTGTTGTTAGTTTGTTCTGAATTCTTAATACCTGTCGATTATTATAAATTTTAATGTACTGTTTATATATATAACTTTACACTTACTAGGTGGTTTTGAATGTTAGTTTTGACAGGTTTGCTTGTGTGTATGACCATCATTTTACATTTTCATTAAAGTTCTGGATGAATATGCAATTCAAACCTTTATAATACTAAAGGGTTATAATTATAAAATACCATAAAAGGTGTTAAATTATTGTAATATCATGTTTGAATTGATGCATGAGATAAGCTCAGATAGATCACACTATTTGGAATACTGCAAGTAGCTATTCAACTTCAGTGAAAGGAGAAAATCCCCTACCATTCTTAGTAAGGAATATAAATAACAACATGAACTGACCGTGTGATATTATGTGCTGCATTTAGCAAAAAAATATAATTTTTATGTGTAATCTTTCTACTTTTTTGGAATATTAAGCTTACTAACAACGAATAATAATAATTAGATAGGATTCAACAGAAGATAACCAATTCCCATTTTAGTAAACTGAAATCAAATTTAATAGTGTTGGAAAGAGAAATTTTCATATTAATACATTTTATTATCACCATTTCTTAATAAGGATTAATTGTATGGATAAGAGAAGTGATTCTCAACTACAGTTTTCCATCTATGTTTGAGATAAAACATGAACCCACTGTTGAAAAACAGAAATTTCTGAAATGAAAAAATTAAAGATTGCAAAGCTCAACTTCATCTTTTAGGTAACTCTGAATTAAACCAATCGAGCTAGAATTTCAAAACTATAAATTTTGACAAAATGCCATATGAACTCTATTATCCGAATTGGTAGTGATTTCTTGATATTGACTAAAAATCTGATTTCATAAATTAGTATGAATAATCTTATTCTTACTCATGTTGATTGGTTCATGATGATTATATCTTAGATGTTTATATATTATTAGATATTTTGGTTTTTACTCAATCTTTGTTTTTTCTTAAAGCATGTGGGTAATTTTTCTGGAACAGAAAGTAATGTTTAAAGAAGAAAGTTGCTTACCTACTCTCAATCAACACCTTGAGTTGAGAAACTAATCCTAACTATATCTCACTCTTTACTCTCTTTACTCATGTGCAAGTTGGAGGTATCTATAGGAGTTTTATGTTCATGGCAGTATTCTACCACTGCCCTGGGTGGTGATTCTGAGGTGGGAGAGCTTGTGTCAATATCTGCAATAATGGGTTTTTCTTATATATTGGATAGATTAAAATATCTCAGAAACCAAAACTCGAACCTGCTTACTGTAAACGAGGGAATTGTTCAGCATTTCATTCTCTCTGTGATGGGCTATTATTTAAAATTGTATCTTAACACGGCGAAAAGGGAAAAAATCATGTCGAAAACAAATTTGTAACGAGTTTTATTGAAGATATGGATTAAAATATCTCAGAAACTAAAAATCGGACCTGCATACTGTAAGTGAGGGAAATATTCAGCATTTCATCCTCTTTATTATGAGATATTATTTATAATTTATATATCATATTATTAATCTTGCCTTGTTAATGTTTTTACTTCTATCGTGTGATCTAAAGCACATACCTTAGTATTTTTTTATTTGTAATTGCCTCTATCCTAGAGGGTCATTGGCGGTAAGTTAAAAAATTCAATGTTTATATTCTTGATAAATTTTGGGACTTTTAAGATGTTTTTCCTTCTTACACACCATTGCTCTTACGATCCTTCTCATGATGGTATTTTGAAATATTGAGCTTGTGAGCAAGTGTCACCTCTGCATTCTCGAGTCAAGTCACAGACCTATGAAATGAATTTCAATCTTAATACTCTAGCCAGAATAGATTAGTAACTTATGAAATAATCACCACATATACTAGAAATGGCCATGTATGGGAAAAAAAATGTTTTAAAAAAGCATCATGGAGTTATAAGTGGTGCTGTGTTCTGTAATTTTTTTTTATCTTGAAGGCATGTTTTGCACTTTTTTTGTAGAGAGTGAATTAGGTTGAGCCGTCAGATCTCCGGGCTAAAGTGGGTTGGAGTCGACTAACTGAAGTTTTTATGCATATGGATTAAAATATCTCTAAAACTAAAAATCGGATATGTATATTGTTAGTGAGGTAAATGTTCATCATTTCTCATCCTCTTTCTAATGAGCTATTATTCAAAATTGTATCTTAACGCAATGCCATGTTAGATAAACGAAAAGGAAAAAAATAGTGTCAAAAACTAAATAATATCAAGTTTTGTTGAAGATATAGATTAAAATATCTCAGAAACTAAAAATCGGGCCTGCATACTGTAAGTGAGGAAATTGTTCATCATTTCATCCTCTTTATAATGAGCTATTATTAATAATTTATAATTTATATTTCATATTATTAATCTAGCCTTGTTGATGTTTTTACTTCTATCGTGTGATCTAAAGCACACACCTTAGTATTTTTTTATTTGTAATCACCTCTATCCTAGAGGATCATAGGCAGTAAATTTTTATACTACATTATAATACTTAGTTTCTTCTAAGTATTTGAACAGAGTAGTGACTCTATCTTCATTGTCTCCCAATATTTTCTTCATTTTGTTTTTTTTCAGATTTGTTTAAACTGATGGCACTCAATGGGTGTTTCACTGGTCTGTTGTTTTGGCACTTGGGTGCTTCTAAGCCTCTAAGTAGGTACCCGTGCGTGAATAGACAGTGACCATTCTGTATTAGGCACAATATGGTTTTCTCTGTTCTGGATTTTCTCCTGCTTGCAGCCCATTTCTTGCATACGTTTTATTTCTAATAATTTAGACTCTTTAATGTTCCATTTTTTTCAACCTTCCAATAATTTTATTTTTGTCTTGTGTATCCAATCTTCTATTTTGATATAATTTGTTGTAGTCATGGTTGGTAATTATATTAATACTATAACATTCAATTATAGATTCAGCAAAGTGTTGAAATTAATTGGGAAACATTAAATAATATTTTGTTTTATATATATCCAAAAATGTATTCAAAATTTGAAATCTATAATTTTGAAAGTACAATATTGTCCTTTTCATTGCATAACAATATCAGTAAAAATATTATTTTGAATTATATTCTAAATAGAATATATTTTTTTATTTTTATTTTCAGGTAGTCCAAATGGACTTGCAAGGAATGATCGTTACATTCATTGGAAAAAATGATTGTAACATTGGCCAGATCTTAAGCGTTTCAAAAACTATTGCGCCTGCTTTGCTAGAGTTACAAAAAGTTCTGGAGCAGTCCTAAATTTATATCGATTTTGTTTTCTACGGTATTTTAACTTTTTTATTTTATTTTGGTTTTATTTCAAGGTAAAAATGAATTCGAACCAATTTTAAATCTCTTTAAAATGTATTTATATTTTTTTATCCTAGATCCGGTCAGATCATTTTCAGGTTTGTTTGATTGTTTTTAAACTATTCTTCTATTTCACATATCATTAACACAGACTATTCAGTATCATAAATAAAAATAGAGGTACGTATATTAAATAAAGTAAATAAGTTTATTTAAACTTGATGTATTTTAAGTTTAATATAATAATTGTTTTGATTTAATTTATCAAAGACATGATTAAATTTATAATATTGTAATTGATTGTGATTTCATGATTAGCTAATTGTATTATTATTTGTTTTTTTACTTGTAGGATTCATTCGAATAGTTGTCTGTAAAGTTTTATTTATTTATTTTTTACTGGAGTTAGATACAAATTTACCCTATTTTGTTTGAGATTAATATGTATTACTATTCCGTCTGTGAACTTTGTAATGGCATTATTATGACTTTACAATAAGAAAGTGTGATGGAAGCTTCATGGAACATGATTCAGTCAAAAACCTGATTTCATAAACATAACATAGACCGTTGTTTAGCTGAGTCCTTTCTATTTGACATATCTTTGAATAATCAATAAAATATGAGCGAATTTATCAGACCAGGAGAGCTCAGTAGTATAAATTATTTTTTGAAGTTGTATTTAAACTTAAAAAATCCACTTTATTTTTTATAGTACCATGTTTATTAAATAATTTTATAATCAAATTTTATTATTTTGTTTAATGGTTCCTTAGTATTTCATTATATTTAATTATTTTATTTTATTTTGTTCACCATATTAATTTATATTTGATAATCCACTTATATTTCTTCTATTCCTAACTGTTATATAATTCAGCAAGTTTGTATTTATTGCTAAAAATACATATCTGTTATTGTTAGTAATTGTAAAATTATATCAATTATGCTTTAAAATCTTTGCGAATTTGTTAAAATTTATCTTAAAATAAATATATTATGCATTAGCCGTCTATGTTTTAGTCATTAATGATCTTGGAATAAAAATTATCATGATTGATAAAATAATTATTAAACATTTTTTTATGGCTACTAAATGCAATATAATTAATAAAAATCACTATTTATGAAATATTGAATTGAAGTAGTAAGGCATTGAAATTTCTTGTCTGAATTTTGTATATTATGCCAAATTAATAATTTACTTTCTAGAGCTTATTATTTACAATTGTATTATTTCTATTATAGAATAAAAAATTGAAATAAGTATGTATATATTTAGAATTTATTTTTGTAAATTTATTAAATTGTATATAGATATGTAATAGGTGTTTATAAATATATGTGATTATTGTATATTTATTTATTGATATTAATATTTTAATATAATGAAGAACCAGTATATTGCCCTCAAAATCAGAAAAAGTTATGAAAAAATAATAACTTTATCTGAATATAAGAACTAGTTAATGAGTATACAATAGATAATTATTTCAAAGGTGATTAAATTCCTTACAGAAAAAAAATCCTCGAAATCAGACAATGTTTTAGTTTATTTTCAGAAATGAACCTTAGTGATCAATCAAGAAAAAAAAAATTAATCCCAACCTCAAAATTGACCAATTTTCACATTATATAATCATTCAGAGACTGATCAATTCACAATACGAATTATTCGCAAGAGCTGACTATTTTGTCCCATATTTTTCCTTTACTAATGTTATTCTTGAAGGCATCTATCTTTTTGGTAATTTTAATATTGACTTGTAACTGTTAGACCATTATTTCAGAGTAGAGTCCGCATTTTATTTAAACCATCCCTGATGACCTTCCATACAGTGCAATATTTTATGAGATACAATGTTTATGTATTTTTCAGTTAGTAACTAAAACTAAGAAAAGTGTGGCAATATGGTTCTTGAGCCAGGACCTAAAAAGGGTAGTCATTTTGGAAGAAGGTTTGATTGTTTGAAATTAATAAACCAAGTTATGTTGCGAAAAATATGGGAACATTTTTTAAAATTGTGTACACGGTGTCTCGTAAGTAGAGGGAAATAATTAAAGAGATGATATAAGGCCTTCGCAGTAGAGCCCATGTGTCTAATGTCATTGAGTCCTCCCATCTTATATTTGGCCTGCCAACCTTTCTTTGTCCATGCATCTTCCTGGGTATCACCGAATCATCCATATGTGCGTCGGGCTCGGCTCATCGAAGTCATCCTATGTTGATAAACTTGATCAAGTCTATATCCTTATTACTATATCAGCAAGCTCGGCATTTCTCCTCCAAATTCCACCCTCTCTAACAGGACCAAAAATCCTTCTCAAGATTGATCTCTCAAAGATGAGAATTCTATGCTTCTGATCCATAAAATAAAACAGGGCGGACCAAGGTTTTGTAGAGTGATCTTGGTCTTTTTAGAGGAACCTGGTTCTAAAATACTTAGCAAGGCCAAAGTAGCACCGTCTCGCCACTGCTATCCTCCTGTTGAATTCTCGAGACATGACGTTTTCGGAGTTGATCTCAGACCCGAGGTAGACAGAGCTGTTTACCTTTTCGCCATAAAAGAACCGGCTCTTGGCCCATCCCCTCTGACTCTTATATACTTGGTCTTAGCTTCATTAATGTGTAGCCCAAGTTTCTTTGCTGCATCTTCTATGGCCAAGAACGACTCTCTTAATGCACGTTCCAATCTGGCGGCAATATCAAAGACGTCAGCGTACCCAAGAAGCTGAATGGTACTGTTAAGAAGGGTTGCATGGAGTTGGATTCCGGACATACGCACTGCTTCCTTTGCAGTGAAGTTCCAAAAAAGACAGAGTAGAGCATCCTCCTGTCTTACACCACAGTTAGTATGAAAGTCTTCCGAGAAGTCACTTCCTACTCATACTGCACACTTCGAGCCCGATATCATTTTCAGTTTAATTGGAACATTCATTTCCAACAGGGCCTTGGAACCATACACAGGGTGTCCGTAAATAGAGGAAAACTTTAATCACTTTAGATGATGAATATTTGAGAAATAATAATTTTCAACATGATTGTTTTTTAATAAATAAAAAATGTATTTATGAAATTGCATCACAAGTCATGGAAAATAAATTAAAGCAAGACACCTTTAGGGTACAGGATATAAAATCACATTATGTTTTTACACAACTTGAGATGAATCTCAACTTGTTTCCTGAAAAACCCTCAATTAAATCAATATGGACTTAAATGTTATTAAACAAGAAAGTTTTTTAAAAGTGAGGTAACTTCAGTTGTAGGGTGATAAAAAAAAGTCTCAAATAATTTATGATTTTTTTAAAAAGAGAACTTAGCTTAGTTTGTTCTCTTTAAATGGTTTAGTTCCTAGTTTACTATGTAATTGTTAGTTTAAACATTTTTTTAAGTTATCATTTCCTATTCAACAAAAAACTTGACATAATAATACACAAAACTTGTATTTTCTACTTTTCTTTAGAAAATCAGTCTGATGTTCATATGAACTTTTTTGTAAATCTTGAGGTCTAATATCACATCTTTAATTATTTCCCTCTACTTACGAGACACCCTGTACACAATTTTAAAAAATGTTCCCATATTTTTCACAACATAACTTAGTTTATTAATTTCAAACAATCAAACCCTCTTCCAGAGTACTGCAGCTGATCGTATTGACTGGTGATAGCTTTTGGAGGAGGCCCAGTCTTAGTGACGGGATGTAGTAGCGCCATTTATGTATGCTATGTATGGTTGCAAATATTTAATAAACTAGAAATGCTAACACGGGTCACCTCACCTCGAAAAAGCTTGTGACAGCCAAAAAAGCTAGATTTCTTAATAGATCCTTCAGAGTTTGTCAACGACTGGAACATTATTACTTTAAATGGCTGTAGCTTGAAAATAAGTTTTTCCACCTGTCAGGAGAGATAGATTTCGATAAACAATGTGTCAAAGATAAAGTGAATACCATGAAGAAGTGATGGATCCGAATTCAAGAATTGTAATTGACCTAAATTAAACATTTTGGTATTCAATGAATGCAGAATTTGATGCTCTGCAGAGTCATTTATTTGTATGACTGTAGAGTCATTTATTTTTGTCAGTTTTTGACAAATTTGATGAAGATCACCGTCCATTGACCGATGTTTTCGACCATATCATCTAACCAAATTATTAAATTTAAGTACTGATTTGACATACAATTTTAATTTTGAAGAGCAATACCCGTTTCGATCCTCTAGTTACTGGCCTAATATTCTTTGATTCAACCGCCATTTTGGAAAGCAGCGGCTCTGGAATGGCAGACAAGGTTCTTTTTAATTAAAATAACATGCGGTTTCGTAATTCATGTTCAAATATTTTTCTTCTTTGTACGGTTTCCAGGTCCTGCCTCCAGGGCTAATAGAGAGTAGATACCCATCGGGGGAGACAAGATGGCGACCACAAGGATGGCCATTAGGGATAAGACAGAAGGAAGAACGAAGAGGGTAGGAAGTTGCGGATGCAGACGATATTGGTAATGAGGTTTTAACAGGTGGCACCCCCTCGCAGCTGCTCCTCACCTGCTACCTCACTGATAACAATAACTGCTAATAACAGGTATTATTGTTGGCGCGTGGCTCTCCTACCGTTATGGGTATATTTTGTCGGCCCATGGGCTAATGAGATCGCTCCACGCAGTTAACAGCTTGCCAAGGTGGATCGCTATTAATATATTCATCCTCTAATATTGCTGAGGGGAGAAGAGGTTATAGATCGTATTAAATGTTGAACGTAAATAATCGATTATAAAGAAGATATACAAAATGTTCTTGTATAAGATCATATCGTCAATCACTAGCGGATCCAGGATTTAATTTTGGGGGGCTTCATCCCGAAAGATTTTTTTTTCTCATAAAAATAACTATAATTAATTTAAAAAAAAAAAGAAATTAACTACCTATATGAAATGGTGTTTAAGTGGTTCCTGAAGTTCTATTAAATGTAATTACAGGAACAAGAATACTTTAAGAGATAGTTTTTAATATTTTTGTCTGTAAAACATGGTTATATTTTACCATTTTGGGGGGGAGCTTCAGCCCGAAAGCCCCCCCTCCGTAGATCCGCCTGTGTCGTCATGTGTTAGTT